TGCTGTTCCCAGTTCTGAGATCTGAGCATGCGCGACCACGCCCAAATTTTTGGAGCACATGCTTCTTTATTTAATTAACAAAATGGCGGCATGAGGTAAGCTGGTGCGATCCAACAGTCACAGTATCACTTCTTCCTTTCTTGGAGAATGATTCTAGGGAACAAGGACCTGCGCATACCCTGTTGGAGTAGAATGGTGTAAGAATTAGCCTTCTATCACCAGGTAAGACTGATATATCGACCGACAACTGGATTGACAGGACTAACTTGATGATGATGATGAAGATGAAAAAAGGTGGCTGAACAAAACGGCCGGTTTGCAGATTTTTGATTTTTCTCCCAGAAAAGGTCTATAGCCACGCTATGGGTACCATTGGAGTCCTCTGGTCAAGATAAGGTCCTCTATAAAGTCTGGTAAGCATAGGAGCTCGTTTTCCCAGTATAGCAAGGCTGCAAAAGTCGTGGCAGCCATTTTGTTTGGGGGTGAATCCTACTTAGTAACGCTACCGCGTTACTAAAACGCTACCGCGTTACTAATAACGCTACCGCGTTACTAATGTATAGTGTAGGAATTTTGGCCCTATTTTTGAGCAACTTTAAAAATTTATGCAAAATTCAGTTTTGATCAGAATTAGTTCAAAATTGTTACACAACATAAGAACATGTATATGTATCAGAAAAAAATATAAAATTGAAGAATTCTCTCCTAGTCATTTTTGGCAAAATTTGACCGATGACCAGGGACTTTGATCCGATTTTGGAACAACTTTAAAAATTAGTAAAAAATTCAATTTTGATCGGAGTCAGCTCAAACTTGCTACACGACATAAGAACATGTATATGTATCAGAAGCAATTATAAAAATGAAGAATTTTCTCGTAGTCATTTTTGGTGAAATTTGGTCATTGACCCTGTACTATAGTACAGGGACTTTCGCCTGATTTTTGGGCAACTTTAAAAATTCATAAAAAATCTAATTTTGATCTGAATCAGCTTAAACTTTCTACGCAACATAAGAACATGTATACATATCAGAAAAATTATAGAAATGAAGAATTCTCTCCTAGTCATTTTTGGTGAAATTTGGCTAATGACCCTGTACTATAGTACAGGGACTTTGACCTGATTTTGGAGTAACTTTAAAAATTCTTTAAAAATCTAATTTTGATCGGAATCAGCTCAATCTTGCTACACAACATAAGAACATGTATATGCATCAGAAAAAGATATAAAAATGAAAAATTATCTCTTAACCATTTTTGACGAAATTTGACCAAAGACCTGACTTTTTGAGCAACTTTAAAGTTCATATGAAAATGTAACAAAAATGGAGCGTTCTCTTTGAGCAATTAATTCTCTTTGTATGTAGCCCCATTTATGTTGTTGTTGTTTTTTAATTAAAGGTTGTGAGAAGAGCAAGAAATGAAGCATCAAACTTTAGATTCATGTTGAATGAAGCAATACCAATAGAGGTAAGAGAGTAATAGAAGAGGACAAAGAACAGTTTAGGATATGCTGTCATATATCATAATTCTATTCCCAACAGCATCTGATTGATAGAGTCTCTGGTTACGTTCATGCCCACACCCTCTACAGTGCTGTACGTCCGTTTGGGTTTAACCTTATGTTTGGTAGCAGTGGTCCAGAAGGACCAAGACTCTATATGATTGATCCATCAGGAGTTTACTGGGTAAGAAGAAAATAGACTATTCTATGACTATTGCATGTGTGGTAGGGTTATTTTGGTTGTGCAATTGGTAAAGGGAAGCAAGCAGCAAAGACAGAAATTGAAAAATTGAAAGTAATGAAACCTTATTCCTTATCATTATAACTGCATTTACATACACACAGTTACAAGAGTTGACTTGTAGGGAAGCTATCAATGAAGCAGCTAAAATGTAAGTAAAATAGTAATGCTCTTCCTCCATTTTGTCTCTTAAGTATATACAAAGTCCATGACGAAGTGAAGGACAAAGCCTTTGAACTGGAGCTTAGTTGGGTAGGAGAAGGTAAGGGAGAAGAATCAATATCCAATAAAGTAATCCGTGTCTCAAAATAGTAAGTAAAGGATTCCACCAGCTGGTGCCTGAGGATGTCTTTGCAGCAGCAGAACAATTTGCAAAGGTAATAGTACATTATATGTACATGTACATTATTCCTGTTAGGATGCTGTGAAGGAGACCGATTCTGAGGAGGAAGATTTATAAATACGTCACAGTAATAATTTAACTAAAGACACCATCTCTCCTTCTCTCTTATTAATTATTCTTATAATTATTACCATAGTTATTATTATTATTGTTGTTATTATTAAAATAGTTCACTGTCTGGATCCGGTGCTATATAATTATCTTTAGGAGGTGTAGCCACTGGACCGATCCTTTTGAAAGGGAAAATATCTTTTCGTAGTTCCAACGATTCCTTATAAAGAGGCAGAGAGAGTTTACGCAATTCCTTCAGTGCATGTTCTCTAGTTTTCATCATTCCTTGTAGCTGCTGCAGCTCCTGTTGCTTAGTAACACGGTTGTCATGGTGAGGAGTGTATATGTACCTGTTTGTGTTGTTGCATTGTATATCTTGACCATTCTTTCATTAGCAGTATTCGCTTTTCTCTCTCTTCTTCACTCGGCTGTAAATATAAAACGGTGACATAATTAAAATAAATCCTGTGTTACTGTAGTAGCTTAGTGTGGTAAGTTATGAGAAATTTATGGAATTTCGTTTAAGTTGATGGCTGTAAATATAATTGTTGATGCGCATTTAGTTACCTCAGTTGTAACAATTGTTAAAATTAATGAATCGTGGAAGTTGGAGGGTTTCAAACTCACCTGAATGTAAGAACGTTTTCTTGCTGGATTAAACATTTCAGGGTCCATTGGTTCTCCCCTCCTAGCAGCTTGAAGTACGACTTGTTCCAAAGCCTCTCTCACCTCCAGTTGTTTCCTATACTCTTTCATTGCATCCCTTTATTAACACAAAAGAAACAAATAATGTATAATAATAACCTCTCATACTTTTGAGCATCTTTCCTAGACTTCTTTTGTTTCTTTGCCGTTTTCTTTCCTCTAGCAGGAACGAGAGAGGAGGGAGGGAGGCACCTGTTGGTCAAAACAGAGAGAGAATGAAGCCTAAAGGCAAGAGACATGCTGCCACCATAAGTGAGGGTGTGGCTACTAGTTAATGAGTCACGCCCATACT